TTAGAATATAGTTTTGGTATTGAATGTGTGCCTTGTTTGTTTTTTTTCCTTGATGTCATTAAACACCATAATGTTAGCTGATCTTTTCTATGGATCAGGAAAAGCTATAGCAATAACGATTTCGGTGAACATTTTGTCATTCTAGTTTGAAGAAATCAAGCCTCAACTGGAGAAAAAGAAACAGCTCTTTGGGGATTGATTAGTTTGCATGATCCACCTGTAACCAGGAGAGGCTTTATGGAAAATATGTCAGAGAACTAGCAATCTCTTCTGCACTGCAATGAAGAAAATAGGTTTAAGAATCTGATTCTTATCTATAAAAATCCTGTTTGGTATAATGTCATTTCATTTGGGAAACTGTGCAAAGTTACCTATGCCATATGCAAGTAGAGGTGCATTGGTAATTAGCTGGAGAGGTCTGACCTTGGAAAGAACATTAACCGTTTCTTTTTGGTACAGTGACTGTGTGTATTCCTTCCATCTTCTCTTGATGCATTCTGCATCATTCAATAATTTGCCCAGAGAATCTTTCAATAACGAAAGTCAAGGCTTGAATTTTTTCTTCAGTTCCCCCAGCTTGAGAAATGCTGAGCATGTTCTTCCTTTTTGGTTTTCTGATTCCAGATCTTTGCACATTTTATTATAGTATTTGGCTTTATCTTCTCGAGCTGATCTTTGAAATTTTCTGTTCAGCTCTTGGACCTCTTCATTTCTTCCATTTGCTTTAGCATCTCTACTTTGGAGAGCAAGTTTCAGAGTCTCCTCTGACATACATTTTGACCTTTTCCTTCTTTCTTGTCTTCTTAATGACTTTTTGCTCTCTTCATGTATGATGTTCTTGATGTAATCCCACAACTCTTCAGGTCTTTGGTCTTAGTGTTTAATGTATCAAATATGTTCTTCAGATGATCTCTAAATTCAGGGAGGATATAGTTGAGGTTATATTTTGGCTCTTGTGGACTTGTTTTCATTTTCTTCGGCTTCAGTTTGAATTTGCCTATGAGTAATTTATGGTCTGTTTCATAGTCTGCCCCTGGCCTTGTTTTCACTGATGTTATGGAGCTTTGCCATCTTCTCTTTTCACAGATGTAGTCAGTTTGATTTCTATGTATTCCATCTGGGGAGGTCCATGTGTATAGTCGTCTGTTATGCTGTCTAAAGAAAGTATTTGAAAGGAACAAATCATTGGTTTTGCAGAATTCTATCATGTGTTTTCCAGCATCATTTCTATCACCAAGGCCATATTTTCCAACTGCTTGTCCTTCCTCTTTGCTCCTGACGTTTGCATTCCAATCACCAGTAATTAGCAATACATCTTGATTGCATGTTTGATTAATTTCAGATTGAAGAATTTGGTAGAATTCTTCTGTTTCATCCTCACTGGCTTTAGTGGTTGGTGCGTAAATTTGAATAATAGTGGTATTAACTGGGCTTCCCTGTAGGCATATGGATATTATCCTATCACAGACAGCATTATACTTCATGACTGATCTGCATATGTTCTTTTTGACAATGAATGCAACACCATTCCTTTTCAATTTGTCATTCCCAGCATAGTAAACCATGTGGTTGTCAAATTCAAAATGACCAATACCAGTCCATTTTAGCCCACTAATGCCTAAGGCATTGATGTTTATGAGTTCCATTTCATTTTCGACAACTTCCAATTTTCCCAGATTCGTACTTTGTGCATTCCATGTTCCGATTTTCAGTGGATGTTTACAGCTGTTTCTCTTCATTTTGACTTGTACCCCATCAGCAAATGAAGGTCCCGTGGGCTTTTCTCCCACTGGCTTTACTCCATTCTTGTCAACTCTACTTTGAGGAGGCATCTCTTTCCCAGTTGCATTTTGAGTGCCTTCGAACCTGAGGGGCTCATTTTCCGGCACTGTATCTGACTGACAGTGTTTCTCTGCTATTCATATGGTTTTCATTGACTAACGATTCGTAAGTAGTTTGTCATTCTTTGTTCCTAGTCTGTATTTGTCTCAAAGCTCATCTGAAACCTGTCCACCATGGGTGACCCTGCTGGTATTTAAAATAACGGTGGTATAGCCCTCAGAATCACAGCAACTCACAAGCCACCACCGTACGACAGACAAACGAGTAGTCATTTTAATCCAGGGAAGACCATTAGGTATCTATGTCATACTCTCATGCTGTCTTTTTTTTTCTTTTTAAAGTTTTTTTATTGTGAATTATGTAATAGTTTACATGGGAGAACATTAGCTTTGTATGTTGTTTGTATACAATCATCCTATTGTATATCGTTTCATTGCCATGGTTACAATCCCCTCCATGCATCATCAACCAACCAAAGGGTACAACATGCAAGCCTGCCTCCAGTCGTCAGGACACAGCCCCTCTCCCTGTCTGGGTCTAGAGTCCCCAGATGCTCCATCTGTCCACATCATCGTCTCTGCCTCCATTTCTTGCGTCACTGCTTCTCTGGGTAGGGTCCCGCACTCCACTGTTCTTCCTTGATATGGTCCCAGGGACCTCTGCTTCTAGACTGCAAAGTCAGTCACTCCCCTCCTTGTGCTTTAATAAGTCTACCTTTACATTTCCAACCCTCACAGTCAGTCCTGATAGCAATTATTCACTATTGTGCCACAAGAGTCCTATCCCCATCTCCTTTCATCAGTCCCACCCAGACAGATTGGATACTACTCAGTGGAGAGTCTACCTTTCTCCTTGCCTTCTGGATCTAGGCTCCCTCTTGAAAGCTTGTAAGCCAGTCACTTCTTGCCTTTGTACCCCCCATTTTGGGTAGCCAGTGTCCAAGTTGCCCATTCCTGTCTACTCTGTGTATAGAGGGGGTGGGAATGATCCTCTGTAAAGATTTGTTCCCTCTCTTGTGCTACTGCATCCATAGGTGTAGGTCAGGTTCAACAAATTATATCAAATTACTCTTTTTTTCCTTTTCTTTCTTCTTCTAGTGAAGTTCTGATCATCTGGCTATTGAAATCAAGTCAAGTGGGTATTATCTGCAAATGTGGGTGTTCTTGTGCATCTCCCCTCACTTCTTACCAGCTGGATGCTTCCTTCTCCACTCTAGTCCTCTGTGGCTATGTCACTGACTCTGGGCCCAGGTCTCCACCTGTGTTCACAGGAGTCTGTTGAACGTGGTCAGACTTAGCTCACAACTTCATTGCTGTTTTTCCCATGCTGTCTTATAGATCCAATTTCTCTGCTTAAAATCTTAGTGACTTCTAGTTATTACTAAGAGTAGCATAAACTCATAAGATGGTTTGTAGTTAGCCTCATTCCTATCCAGCCTCATATCTTGCAAAAATACCTTTTATCTGTCATCGAATGATGCCAGGAAACTTTAGGTTTGTGGAATGTTTTGCCAAGTCATACCAATTCTACATTTGCATTTGCTTTATTGCAGCATGGATGCCCCCTTTCCCCACCAACCTTGCCCTTCCAATCGCAGACTTCTGGTCTTTCCAGATGACTGTGAATTCTTCCCTACCCCCTACCTGTGCTGTGTGTCCTCGTCTCCGTCCTGCCATTTTCCTTCTGTTGTACTGCTCACATGATCCTGTGATTTCACTCTGACTCTCTTGGACTTCCTACTGTAGGGCCTTGCCAAGGACACATCATATCTTACTAATCATTACATGCCCACACCAATTACAGTGTCTAGTCCATGGTAGTTGTACCAGGGATGCTTAATGAATGAATTGAAACTGGCCCTCTGAAATAAATGTGCCCATAGCCATAGAGCTTGAGTTAGAACTTAGTATAGTTTCTGGATAAATTCTCTGTATGTTGTTGTTTTAAACTTGACTATGACACATGCTGAAGGAAAAGCTAGTAGGTTAAATCTGAAATGCATTTATATACTGTTTGTTGTTGTATGCTGTTGAGTCAATTCTGACTCATAGCGTCCCTGTATAGGGTTTCCGAGGAGTGGCTGGTGAGCTTGAACCGCTGGACTTGTGGTTCAAACCAACCTTGGGGGTCCTACAAGGAATGAAACCGAACTTCTCATGACATTTCAGGAGTCCCTTAGTAGCCCAAACTGTTTAGCACTTGACTACTAACTGAAAGGTAGGTGTTTTGAAGCCTGAAAGAGAGGCCTGGTGATGAGCTTCTGAAAGTGCACAGCCTTAGAGAGCCTGGGGGGGCGGGACAGTTTTACTGCACATCCAGAATGACTGAGTTGGAATTGACTTGAACAGCACCTTGTCAGGTGTGTAACAGCAGTGTCATTCTGGTTAAGTGTGTTTAGGGAACAAAGAAGTTTCTTCTTTAGGATTATGTGAGGTCTTTGCAATGTTTGTTGTTGTTATTGTTGTATGCTCTTGAGTCAGTTCCAACATAGTGATCCTGTATAGGGTTTTTTGTGGTTTTTTTTCTGTATAGGGTTTTGAAAGTGGTTGGTGGGTTTGAACTGCTGACCTTGAAATTAGCAGTCCAGTTCTTATCCTATAGCACCACACCAGGGCCTGCTTACAATATTGGGTATATTAAAATCGATTTAGTTAAAATAAAGAAGGCAAAAGTTAAAGATGTCTCCGAAATCTGGTAAAATGCACCTTGTCTTGACATTAATTTATACGTTATACAGGGTACTAGAATTTAAGTGTTTTGTTTTAAAGCTTTTGCCCTTTTAGTCATATTGTATGATATAAGATAAGGACTGAACTGCTAACTGCAAGGTCACTGGTTCAAATCCACCAGCTGCTCCTCTTTATGAGTCAGAGCTAACCTGATGGCACATAACAACTACATGTAAAAATAAAAGCCTTTGTGATATTTAAAGTACCGAATTGCTGCTTGAATTGATGTACTTATGTTCTTTCAAAATGTATTGATTATATGCAAAATAAACTTTTTGCATAGGTTCATGTTTTGTCATTTTAATTTTCATCCTAAAACAAGCCAATATGCATTAGTAATTTATTACTAAATAGTTTTTCCAAACCAACCCCTTTCGGCCTAACTTCCTGTCCTTTTCCATTTCAGCAGCTGGAGCTGAGCTGGCCATCATGGAGGAGGAGCTGTGCCACACACACTGTGGGAACTGTGTCAGTAGACGCTGCATGACCCGACCAGAGCCTGGGGTTTCCTGTGACTTGATTGGTTGCCCATTGGTTTGTGGAGCAGTTTTCCATTCTTGTAAAGCTGATGAACACCGACTTTTATGCCCATTTGAACGAGTGCCTTGTTTAAATAGTGACTTTGGATGTCCATTTACCTTGGCCCGAAATAAAGTTGCTGAACATCTAGAAACATGCCCTGCAAGTGTGGTGTGCTGTACTATGGAGTGGAACCGGTGGCCAGTTAGTTATGCGGACCGGAAATCATATGAAAATCTAAGCCGAGATGTTGATGAAGTGGCACAACTAGATATGGCCTTGGCCCTTCAAGACCAAAGGATGCTCTTAGAATCTCTCAAAGTAGCCACCATGATGTCAAAAGCAACTGATAAAGTATCAGAAACTAGAGAACAAATTTCAGTTAAATCAAGTGTCCCAGAAATACCACATGCTAATGGCTTGCTGTCTGTTGATGAAGAATCTTATGGTGCACTTTATCAAGCTACTGTAGAAACAACCAGAAGTTTGGCTGCTGCTTTAGATATCCTGAATACTGCCACAAGAGACATTGGCATGTTAAATTCAAATCTTTGTACATCCCAAAATGAAATGGATGAAGAGCAGAATACCAGAGAAAGCTTACAGGACGGAAATGTAAAAGATCAGGACTGCCTTTATGAGGATGAGCTAGGAGCAGTAGGTGGAATTGACCACAACAATACAAGTCAGAATGCCCAACCTGAGCAAAATGGGTCAAGTGACTTATTGTGTGACTTGGATACAAGTTCTCATGACGCTTCGGCTCTTTGTAATGGCTTTCCTTTAGAAAATACACGTACTCAGGTACAGAATCCGAATTTACACGGTGATTCAGAACAAAGTAACTTAACGAATGGAGAATCTGTGGCATCAGATGGCACTTCGAAACTTCCCAGTTCACTCTCCATGGCAGCACAACTTAGGGAAGTAATGCCATCCAATGCTTTGCCTAATGGCACAGTTCAGCATATCCTCATGCAAGGTGATGAAGATGAAGAATTATATTGGAGAAAAGTAGACTTAGGGGACTTGAAGAATATGGATGTCTTGTCTTTCAGTCATCCTCCTTCATTCAAGTTTCTTTCTAATTCATGTTGGTCCAAACCAAAGGAAGATAAAGCAGTGGACACATCAGACTTGGAAGTTGCAGAAGATCCCATGGGCCTACAAGGAATAGATCTCATTACAGCAGCATTGCTGTTTTGTCTAGGAGATTCTCCAGGTGGGAGGGGTATATCTGATAGTCGTATGGTTGATATTTATCACATTGACTTTGGGACTCAGACGTTTTCACTTCCATCAGCAATATTAGCTACAAATACAATGGTCGGGGAAATCGCTTCCGCTTCAGCTTGTGATCATGCCAATCCACAGCTTTCAAATCCAAGTCCTTTTCAGACACTTGGACTGGATTTAGTTTTGGAATGTGTCGCTAGGTACCAACCCAAGCAGCGTTCAATGTTTACATTTGTATGTGGACAGTTATTTAGAAGAAAAGAATTTTCTTCACATTTTAAGAATGTGCATGGTGACATTCATGCTGGACTCAATGGCTGGATGGAACAGAGATGTCCTTTGGCTTATTATGGCTGTGCCTATTCTCAGCGTAGATTTTGTCCATCAACACAAGGAGCAAAGATTATACATGACCGCCATTTGAGGTCATTTGGAGTTCAGCCATGCATATCCACAGTATTAATAGAGCCTGCTAGAAACTGTGTGTTGGGATTACATAGTGACCACTTAAGTAGTCTTCCTTTTGAAGTCCTACAGCATATTGCAGGCTTTCTCGATGGCTTCAGTTTATGTCAGCTTTCATGTGTATCCAGGTTAATGAGGGATGTATGTGGCAGTCTGCTTCAGTCTCGTGGAATGGTCATACTGCAGTGGGGAAAAAGGAAGTATCCCAATGGAAATTCATCGTGGCAGATCAAAGAAAAGGTTAGTTTATTCTTGACTGTATGTACCAACCCTTTATTTTACATACAGCTGTTCTCTGCCGTTGGGCAGACTCTGTATGGACAGAAGAACACAATGTTGCCCGGTCGTGGGTCACTCTAACAGTCTCCCCTGTGTTCAAGTCCACTGTGTGACTGTTGAACCAATCTGTGTCACTCAGGGTCTCCACATCTTTGTTGACCCTCTGCTTCACCAAATGTCATGTTCTCCTCTAGTGATTGCTACTGGCTGATGATGTGTCCTAAGCAAGCTAGTAGGCCAGTGTTCTGCTGTGACCCATAGGCTTTTCACTGGCTCCTTTTGAGAAGTAGATCTTTAGGCGTTTGTGGAAGCTTTGCTGTAATTCACCATGAGTGACCCTACTAGTAATTGAAATAACGATTGGTGTATCTTCCAGCATCAGATCAACACACAAGCCACCAGAGTATGACACACTGATAGACAAGTGATGGTGACATATAGTACTTAATGATATTACTGATGAATTAATGAAATTAATATCTTGTTGAGAAATTGACCATCCCCTAAAACTTAACTAAGTCCAAATGGTGGCAAACTGTAGTTTCGTGATAACTAATTAAGAATAACTAATTGAAGTTCTGGTACAGTGCTGTGGGTTAATGTGCTGGACTGCAAATTTGGTTTGAATTACAAAGTCGGTGGTTCAAGCTCAACAGCCACTCCTCGGGAACCCTATACAGGGTTTCTGTGGGTCGGAACTGACTTAACGATGCTTAGCAGCAACATTGAAGAACTAGGATAGTTACAGGGTCATAGTCAGAGATTGATTGCACACATCCTAGAACTAAGTTCTAACTTAATGTAGTGGTGTTGTTTAGTGCCCCCGATTTGGTTCCAACCCATAGTGGACCCTGTATAGGGGTTTCAAGGAGTGGCTGGTGAGCTTGAATCGCTGACCTTGCGGTTCAAATGACTTTGCAGTACAGCACATTAAGCCACAGCGTTACACCAGGACTCCTAATGTAGCATAGACCCAACCTGTTTCTTCAGTTAAGCAGTTCCATAACCCTCAACAACTTCCTTTACCACCTTCTAATGGGCTTCATCTGGAATATTTTCACCAAATAACAGTGGAGGAAGCAAGGAGAATGCTATTTCCTACTTATAGTTGGCAGTTTCTCTCTCTTCTTTTTAGTAACTTCTCTACAACGACTTGACTGTTTCAGACAGAATTTAGCTAGAAAGAGAATAAAAGAAGCTTTACTACTACAGACATACTAGTAAGTGACCATTCGGGCGTTTAGATGGGGTGTGGAAATGTACTAGGCTGATGTGAGTCAAGAGTATTGTGGGTGGAACTCGGGTCTCATACAGAATAAAGGAGTATCACACATTAGGGACCTGCATGGGAGATTTAGGCAGATCTTGGAAGAACTTCTGCTCCACCACTTTCCTTTCGTGGTTTCCTACTTTTGCCCAGCTCCTATTTGAAGCACTATCTGGTAGAAACTAGAAAACATTACAAGGAGCTTTAACTGAAGTTGTTTTTCCATTTTAGAAAACTCGGATTATAAAGTTGTGGGAATTTTGATAAACTCAGCATTTGTGTGGAGATACCATTGCCTGCTTATTTTGTTGTTAACACTCTAAGATTTTCTCTTTTCCTCATTGTCCTAGGTTTTTGTTTTTCCTCAGAATTCTATATCTACTTTTGTTTATTTCTGAGACTTTTCGGTAATAAACACAATATCTTTTTTTCCTCTTAAAGGATTTCTGCTGGGAGGCGGTTTTATAGTTGCTGTTTTATGCGTGTATGTGTGTGTTTTTAGTTTCTAGATGATGTGGCATCTTTCTCTACTTAGCATGCTGCATTTTTAATATGGGACATTCTGAGCATGGCTTCCTTTTGTCCTTGCCCACTAGTATTGACATAATGGGATGAAATACTTTCTTGGGATTCTGTAGTCATGCTTATGGGAAATTTCATCGGCTTTTAGAGTTCAAATTGCCTTCATTTAGATAGATGACACACACAGTTATAGCCTACCCATATTCTACACTGAACTCATACTGGTATCTACAACTATCTACTTAACAACTAGATATCCTAGTGTGGTGCTGTGGGATAAGTGGTGGTGCAAACCCCCCAGCCGCTCCTTGGAAACCCTGTCCAGAGTCGCTGTGAGTTGGTACCAACTCCATGGCACTTAAGAACAAAAGCAACAACACTGGATATCACCATTTGATAACCCCAAAGCTTCCTCAAATCACCGGGTCTGAACTGCAACCTCCTACCTGGGTTTCAACTTCCACACGGTTCGTCCTTTCCAATGTACAAGAAGACTTCAAAAGTTTCATAGAAAAATTACATTAGTTTTCAATTCTGTTTTTTCCAGGAAGTTTTGAAGTATCTCCTTCCCCTTGTATTCTCTATACGAAAGCTGAAAGTAATGTAATATTTTGTTAAGTACAGCACTTACACTGTCGCTGTAATGTTTGTCCATTGAGCCTAGAATAGAGGCAGACCTTAAGGAAATACTTCAGGTTTTTCCTAACCTGGCCCTTACTTACCTGATTCTGACTGACCTCTTTGGTTTCCTTTGTTACTTATTACTTTTGCCACATTGAGTTGATTAGTTTCCTGATGTTTTCTTTCTTGACTCAAGGCCTTTGAATATGCTGTCTGTAATTCTTCCTACATATGAGCATTTGAAATTCGCCAGACATTGTAGTAAGCACTGTACTTTATTCTCTGGCTCCAGTTTAGGGATTAAACAGAAGTTCAGAAAGGTTAAGTAACTCCTTCAATTAACTGACATATTCAGACTTCAACTGCCTGTTTCTGGAATTTCTGGTCTTCATCTCCTTGCTAACCGTGCTGACTCTTCAGGTCTTATTTCCTCAAGAAATCCCTCTGGCCCCCACCCTAAACTTTCTGGGAGGCCCACTGGTGTGTATTCCTATGGTACCCCATCATATACTGCTATTGAAGCACTTGTCATGCTATTTGACATTCAGTGTCAATTTTCTTCATTATCCTCGAGTTCCTTAAAAATGGGACTTTATAGTTAACCGGAATATTCTACTGCCTGGCCCAAACCATTGCTGTCACGTCACTTCTGACTCACAGTGACCCTGTAGGACAGAGTCTAGCTGTCTCAGGGTTTCTGTAAATCTTTACAGAAGCAGACTGCTTCATCTTCTTCCCACAGAGGAGCTGGCAAGTTCAAACCACTGACCTTTTGGTTACAGCTGAGTGCTTAGTCATTGTGCCATCGGGGCAGAGCATCTGGTAAATAGCAGAAACAAGTAAATACGTGATGGATTCTTGAATGAAAAAACGATCCTTATTAAGAAATCTTGTCAGGAGATGGGGGCCATGCATTTTTTTGCCTGCTTTTCCTGAGTGTTTCCCCAGACTCTCAGTTCTGTGCAAGTGTGGAAACTTCATGCCGTTCTGGAACCTTTCCGTTAATTTATTCTGCTGAAGCTTGAAAAACTCCCATGTTCCCCTTTTAGCTTTATGAGTGTGGGGTCCTGTAGGTGAGGCTAGTGACTTAAGTGATATCTATCGGCAGCTACTTTTTAGGCTTAAGCTAACACTTGGGAAGTAACCCCCATCCACAGTGATTGATCACAGTTGGAAAGCATGGAGGGAGTCTCGTTCTACTCCTGAACCAGTGGTAACTTCTGTCACCAGGTGAAAAATGATTGTGTTCCCACAGCATCTGAAGGGGACACCCCTGAAGTCCTCCTCATCCTTTCCTGAGAAGCTGTAAGGAGTGCTGTGGGCTTCTCGCAAAGGCCCTGCTGTTCACCAGGTAGCCAGTGTCCTCTGACTACATTTGTTTGTGCATGAGCTCAGCTATGATGCGTAGCCCTGCCCGGCCCTGTGCCTGCTTGGTACCCAGCTCTGTCCTTTTCGGACCTGGCTTGGGACCTATGTTCAGGTAGCTTTGTATTTGGAATTACATAGACGAGAGAACGTCACAGAAGTTAGCTAGACTAATCGTCAGTTCCATCAGGACAAAGACCTGCTTTTGTTAGCCATTTCACCCCAGTGTGTGATCCAGGACTTGGACCATAGTAGGCATTCTGTAAATATTTCTTGAATGAATATATGAATGCATTTGAAGGTTCCATTTAGATTCCACAAAGTGGTACTGTAGGATAAGCACTGGACCACAAAGTTGGTTTGAACTTCAGGGTTGCTATAAGGCACTTCACAACAAAACCCCTATCTGGTCCTGGAGAGTAAAGCGCTAGATTGTGGGGTCTGTTTGAACTGAAAAGTCAGTGGTTCAATCTCACTAGCTGTTTCTCAGAAACCTTATAGAGTAGAGGGTTGCTATGAGTCAGAACCGACTCGACGGCACTTAACCACACCTATCTTATACAGCTGTAATTGGTATCATTTAATAAATGAAAATTAGGTGGTAAAAGAAAAAGCTGGACTAATAAGATGACAGTGCTTCAGAATCTGGAGTGGCTGAGTGGGCCAGCGGGGAGCGAGCCTGTGGTTTATCTTCAGGCACACGAACAATGGGGGTGGCAGGTGAGTATTTTGCTTAGAAACACATTTTACAATAATAAGGACAAAAATAGGATTCTATATAAATTTTCAGAAACAGTCTGAACAAATGAAAACACACCTGTATTCTTAATGTTTACTAAATGTCTTTTGTATTTATAAATAATAAATAGTGGGGGGAGGTGGATAACTTACTGGAGCACAGTATTCTAGGTTATTTTTAGTGCACCGGGGCTCTGCTGGTGCAGTGCGTCAGGCACTGGCTGACCACCAGCAGCTCCATGGGGGAAAAGGTGGCAGTCTGCTGCTGTAAAGACTTACAGCCTTGGAAACCCTATGTGTCAGTTCTCCTCTGCTCTGTGGAGTCACTAAGGTTCCAAATAGACTCAGTGGCATGGGTTTTTTGTTTGTTTGTTTGTTTTTGTTATTATATAATAAGAATGGAAGAAAAATCTGGAGAAAAAAATAACACTTGTCAACATCACCAGACAGTGGTTAGTCTGTCAAGCCAGTTGGATAGGCCGCAAGAATAGTGTGTGGTATGGGAAGTGGCTCTGAATTCCTGAGGCTGTCCTGTTTGTTTTTAATTAAAAAAAAAATTTTTTTTTGAAAAAAATATGTCCAGTTTGGTATACTTTTTAATGTTGGGTTTTGTCCTTTATGGGTTATAGTTATTGAAATCATGTCATAGAAGTGATTTTTTTCTATTACTAATATTTGAAAAGCAGATTAGTATCCAAATGGAGTTGATTGCTTTTCCATTTTGTAGCCAACAACTTGTAACCCTGTTTCTCTTAACTCTGAAATGTGTATAGCTTGGGTAAGAAGTGCATTTGATTCTTTGTAAATTGGCTTGTTTCAATCTGAAGTAGACTTTTCTTCTAGGTGTGGCGATTTAGTACTGCATTTTGTTCTGTTAATGAGTGGAAATTTGCTGACATCTTAAGCATGGCTGACCACTTGAAGCGATGCAGTTACAATGTTGTGGAGAAGCGGGAGGAAGCAATCCCACTGCCATGTATGTGTGTGACTCGGGAACTCACCAAGGAAGGACGGTCCCTGCGCTCAGTGTTGAAACCTGTCATTTAAAAATGATTGCTCCACTTGCACAGACATGCAAACGTCTAGTATTTCTTTGTAAGATGTGACACTTTGTTAATGTATTAAAGACAATTCGCTAAACTTATTGTCACTATGTATATAAAGTTTTGAAGTGACATATATTTTTGTAAAATATGTACTGTTTAGTTGGGGGGGGAGTTGCCTTAATGTTTGAAATGTGTGAAATTTTTGGAACTTGCTGGACAGGGTGATTGAATTTTTAGCTATATAATTTTGGAATCAATATTTTTTAATGGTGTGCATATTTTGATTCTTAAATTTTTGGCTTCTTAAACTGACAAGATCCTGACCAAACAGTGTATGTTTCATATTTTCTGTGGGTTGTCACCCATGCATTCAAAAAGTGAGACTTCGATCCAAATTTTTGCCATATAGATTTTTAAAATAAAAACACTCAAATGCTTTAAGCATGCCCATATGATCACGGTAGTTTTTATTTTTAGTGTTTCCCTTGTGCAATTATTGGTACGTAGATGATATCTAATATATATTTAAATAATATTTAAAATCTTGACTGGTAATTCCATTTATCGTGTTTGAAAAATAATCTACAAAGATGTATTCGTCTTAGGTGTTTATAACTCTCTTACTGAGAGAGCCCACTTGCAGCTTTCCTTTTTTGTTAGATACCACATTCAAAGATCGTGGCAATGTTTTACGTGACAAGTTAATATAAAAACAAATAAAGCCCCATGGATTTACTTTCATTTGAAAATGCCTATGGTATATCCCATGGATTTACTTTCGTTTGAAACTGCCTATGGTATATATTTGCTATTTGGAGAAAAGGAAATTGATAGACCTGATTTTAAATTTGATTTGGGCATGTTGTATTGAATGCATTGCATAGTAACTTTTTTCATAAGTATTTTAAACTGTTGCCTTTGATATTTATTAAAAAATAGTACAATTGCAGTTTTAAGATTTAAAATGTGAAATTTGCTATCTTTGTAGACTGACAATCATGAAATGCAGTAAACCTATCTTGATTGGCACTCTCTTTAAAGCATATCCAAGTTAATTCCCCATAGACTTCTCTAACAGTAAGAATTGCATCTTTGTAAAAAGATCAGCATATAATAGAAAATATTATATGTGATGCTGGAGGATAAGCACTGGACTGTGAACCACAAGGTGAACAGTTCAAACCCACAAGCTGCTCCTCAGAAACCTGGTGCAGAGTTGCTATGAGTTGGATACGACTCAGCATCACTTAAGCAACATTAATGCTTGAAGTATTTTATTCAACTTTCAGATTGATTTATACTCTTATTAAAAACAAACCAAAAAAGAGTACATCAGTATTTATAATTAAATTGCAAAGAGGGGACAGGGACATATACTTAAGTAATTGATTTTAAGTAACTTCTAGCATTTGATAGACTACAAAGGTGGCTAGTTACCTTGTTAGAAATTTGAAGACTATTGTGTCTTTTCTTCCTGTATTTGTCCCTGAGGATGCTATGTTGTTACTCGGGTCTTGATTCCCATATATGGCAATCAGGCTAGGCAGAGGCCTTTCTTGGGCATTAGAGAAAAACTCTCAACTTCTTAAGACTTGTTTTGGTTGGATCAAGTGCTTAGCACAGTTGAAAAACGTAGCATTAAAGACTAATCATTGTTTTACCTCACCGTTTTAATTGGTAGAATTATTACACTTATTTCTCAGTGCTTAAAGTTTGTTTTTTTCAGCTATAAGATTAAATTGCATAAAGTTTCTCTTTTGGTGAAAAAGTCAGATAAGATAACAAATACTGCAAAATATAACTGCCTTTTAAGTTTTGCTGAAGAGTGTGTCTGGTTAGAATAGCACAAGCATTAACTTGTTATTTTAAATGGTTGTGCATTTAAAAATCCATGATTTTTACATTTAGACTTGTTTCCACACGATCATGAGCTAGGTAACATTTTTTCCACCTTATTTCTTTTACATATTTTTGGCTGTTTTCTCTTTAGTTATGCCACCATGTTATTTTGTTAAAATGTTTTCTTTGTGCAACATTTGTTCAAATTCTAATAAAATTAATGTTTTCCCATTATATGGCTCAGTAAGTTAAAATCTAAAACTTTCACTGAAATAACATTTTAGTACTTATTTGACAGATTTCAAACGTTTGTTTCTTGAGTGTGGCTTTTCTGCATGCTGTAAGAGTTGCTTGTTGATTGACTACCACTGTTACCCAGGTTGCACTGGGAAGCACTAAAAGCACCTTTTTTAAAATATGGAGAATACATTGGTTATGTTTCTTTGCCCCTCAGTGTCTTCTGGAAAATAGTCTTACCTAGGGGCAGGTGCAGAAGGGCTGAAGGGCTCTGACGGTGTTTTTTTCTGAGACTTGTAATGGGAACAATCTATCCAACCTTTTAGCATGAAAAGGTTTGTATGTCAGTCAAGTAGTTTGTCATTTGAGAAGTCTTTGTTGATTCTGTCGTCTGCTAACCAGCAAGATAAAAGGCACATGTGAGGATGGAAGAAAATCATCCTAATTTCCTCTTGTCTCTAGCCTCCTTATGGAGGATTGCCTATTAGTTTAATATCTGTCAGGTCTCTCCCTACCTGACTTTTGGGACTCACGGGCCACTTACAGTACTGATTCTGAAAGTATGGTCCCTGGTTCAGAAGACTCAGTGTCACTGGGAATGTAAATGCTTGAAGTCCTCCCCAGACCTACTGGATCAGAAACTTGGGCGTGGGAACTGGCAGTCACCTTTACCAAGGCTTCAGGGTGGTTGATGCTCGGCCAGGTGTGAGAATTTAGAGGAAAGCCTGAGACGTTCCTGTGAACGCATGGGTGTGCCCTCCAAATTGTAATGCTGATGTGCTGATAGGAATTGATGGTTAAAGTATGATGATCTATGCTAGTTGTCTCAATCTTATTAGCTACATGGCAAAATCAGTGGTTAGATGGCTGTTGGGGTGGAGTCCTGGTGTGACGCTGTGGGATAAAGCACTGGACCGCAAGGTCTATTTGAACCACAAAGTACATGGTTCAAACTCACCAGCCACTCCTTGGAAACCCTGTACAGGGTTGCTGTGAGTCGGAACTGACTCAGTAACACAACAACAACACGGTTGTTGGAAGTTTGTTTTAACTGGTATGTATGCTTACTCAATTTGTATTAGTATATTTCACTAGTGTTTCTTAGGGTTACGGTAAATTGCAGTGTAAGTTTTAGTTCATTAGCAATAACAGTTAGCTTCATCATCACTCATCTTGTTTAGTGCTTGTAGAGTCATGTGAACACATTAGAATTCCAAAATAAGCAAAGAGTAGGAGTAGAGTACTGGATTAAATCCCGTGAATTGAATATTTGAAGGAATCCTTTCAGTCCTATCAAGAAGAGGTATTATCTGTCGTAGTATGGGTTTTGTTTTTGTTATTTTTTGCTTTGTGACCCTGATCTCTGTATCCATCAGTGTTACTGTTATTTCAGACTCCCTTATCATTGGATAAGGAGGTAACTAGAAGGGCTGCAGTTCAAACCCACCAGCCGTTCTGTCATAAAGATGGTTTCTGTAAGTCTCGGAAACTTTATATAGGCTCGTTGTGAGTGGAAATTGACTCTGGCAGTCAGTTTTATCATTGGATATTGGGATCTGAATCCAATAATGTTGATAAAAATGGGGTTTTCAACAAAATTTCCATCTTTTTAAAAGATATGGTAGCTTATTGATACATTTTTCCAGTGGGTATTTGACTGTAGTTTTAGGAGTTTGAAAGCAAGATAGCTATTAATATTTTCCATCCTAAAAAGAGATAGGGTTTATTAGTTATTTTAAATTGTCTAAGAAGCTCTGGTAGCATAGTGGTTACGAATCAGGCTGCGAACCGCAAGGTCAGCGGTTCGAAACTACCAGCTGTTCCATGGAAGTAAGATGAGGCTTTCTGCTCCCGTAAAGATTTATAGCCTCAGAAACCCTGTACAGGGTCTCTATGGGTCAGAACCGACTCGACGGCAGTCAACAACAACAAGGAGTAGTTATGCAGCATTAAAACCACTTTGACCTCCTGCAGGACATGCCACGTGGGAGCTGCTGTGATTAGAAGCTGCAGAATTGGGTGTTTTGAGGAACAGTAAGAAAGCAAGCAATTGGCCTTCGTTCTCTTCAAAGGCTGGACAACAAACATCTTTTGGTGAAAAGAATTTCTCTGTTATGCGTTTGCCTGCATATCTAACTGTTGCTGTAAATAGTCCTTACTTAACATGCTCACGTGCAGTCGTGGTGTAGCGCTGTGGGTTAATGCTCTGGGCTACAAAGTCAGTTTGAACCGCAAAGTTGGTAGTTCAAGCTCACTGGCCGCTCCTTGGAAACGCTATGCAGGATCGCTGTGGGTTGGAAACATCAACATCAACATGTTCATGAAGCCTAGGAAAAAAGGAATATTAGTAACACTTTAAAAAATCAACAGTTACTTGGTTCATTATGTTTAAAATACTTGAATAATTTATTTATTTTTAGGATTTGATCTAAAAAAACAAACCCATAAACTAGTTTGAGCATTATAAGTAAAGGACAACTAGTGAAATACTTTCCAAATAAGGGAAGACACAAGGGTGTTTTCTTTTGAAGTCATCTTTTACACAGTTATTCTACCTTTAATTTAAAAGATCAAAGTAAGATCAAACGATAAGATCTTTGTAATTTCCATTTTATGGGTGTGAAAACTAAGTTACTCCAAGTTGAGTGTGTTGGGATATTTGAAAAAACTAAGAGAAATATGTTTTGAAGTGGTCACTTTTACACTTTATAAATGAAGAAAGGAGAAAATCTTGAATGCAAGGATATTAATCTGGAAAGTATTGTTGCCTGTAATATTGCATATTTATGTTTTTAGAAAAATTGGGTATGATCAAAAAGGGGAAAAAGTAGAAACTAATTTTTGTTGTTCTAGAAATAATTTGCAAATATTAGAACCTTTTGCAGAAGTTTCACAAGTATTTTTTGCATTTATAATTGATGAAAT